CTTCGACTCCTTTAGCGACCTCCTCACGCAGGCGCAAACCAAGTGTGCGTGACCCCGACCATGGCTCCCTGCGGGGGGGAGGGAGGGGGAGCAAGGGTGCCCCCATCCACACAGGCACCCCCCACCCACCCCCAGACCCCCTGGCGCTGGGCTGAGTTGGGAGAGGGGCTCCGGACTGAGAGGTGGAGGGAAGCCCAAGTTTCTGGGCCTTGGTGTAAGTTGGGAACCCTGCCCCTGAGTTCCCCCTGCACCCCCCAACTCTGATGGAGCCATTATGGGAGGGTAGATAATTTTGGGGGGATCCCCTCCAGGATCAACCCCCCCATCCTAGCCTGGGAGGTGACTTCCTGCCTAGGGGGGCTCTGGGGTCAGTAGATGCCCCCCCACTCCCCTTCCCATACGGAGAAATCTTATTTATATATATATGTATAAATGTCTATTTAGCAGCAGCTTTTCTCTGTACGGGGCGGGGGGGCCCTCCCCAGCCTGGGGGGGGATGTGTCAGAGAAGAGGGGTCTGGTGGGTTAGAAGAGGGGCGGGAGGGCACAGAGCCAGGACTCCTGGGTTCCACCCCCAGCTCTGGGAGGGGAGTGGGGTCTAGCGGGTTAAAGTGTTGGGGAGCTGGGAGCCAGGACGCCTGGGTTCCCTCCTCAGCTTTGAATGGGGAACAGGGTCTTGAGGGTTGGAGGGGGGCAGCAGGGACCCAGGACTCCTGGGTTCTACTCTGGGTTTGTCCCTGCAATGGCCAGGCTGTCCCAGCCCCGCTCCCCATGGTGGGGGGCTCTCTCTAAAGTATTAGTACTCGGGGTACAATGCCTCTGCAGTGGGAGCAGAGGCCAGTTGGGGCAGGAGGGCACCCCCTGCATGGCCCAGTGGGTGCCTCCCAGGATTGACAATGCCCCCCACTTGCCCCCTACCAAGCTATTTATTGCCAAGGGTGTCCCCTACCTTTAAAATTGGTCTTGCCCCACTCTGCCTCCCCATCTGTGTGTGCGCAGGGGGGGGGGGGGGGGGGGGGGCAGGGGGGGCCCCCAAGCAGCCCCTCACAAGCTGGAATTCTGCCAGCCTACAAGGGAAAAGCCATGGTTTCCCATATTTTTCTCCATTAAAGAAGAATCCATTTTTAAAGTTTGTTCGCAATCCTTTCATATATTCCCTTTCATATATTCTTGCAACCCACCTTGGGTGGCGACCCACGGGCTGAGAAGCACTAGTCTAGACTATCTGAAGCTTTTGACTAGAAGTCATGATAAGTTCCTTTTAAAAAAACATAAAGTTTTTCTTACTTCTGGTTAGATTATAAATACAAAGAGAAGACCTATTTTACTACTTCAGTTCTTCACTAAAAATGGGGACTCGTGGCCCCACCCCCCCTCCTTTCATCCCCCTTCCTTTCTTGTTTTTTTATAATTATAATAATTATTATTATTATATATATTGGGGGGGGAGGGCCTCGAGCCCCAGTCACTGCCTCTCCCAACATCCCCAGATGCACTCCCCCCAGTTGAACCCAAAATGGAGACATAATCCAGTCTATTTAAAGGAAAAGATTGGTTCGGAGGCCTTCTGTGTGGAGGAGCAGAGCAGGGTTGGTTGGGAGGGGTCTGGTGCAGACAGGGTTAACCCTGCAGACCTGTTCCCTGCATGTAGGGTGGGGGCAGAGTCAAAGGTACTTTGGAGGGGGCTACCAATAGGGTTGCATTGGGGTCTCCTTTGGAGGTGCATTGGGGTGCCCCATATCACACCTCCTCCCCCAGACCAATCCTGGAGCTCACTGCCTATTGTCTAATAGAACCTGTGACCTCATTTTCTGGGGGGGGAGTCTCTGCTCCCCACAGACCCCCAATATTGCCCCCCCTCGATCCCTGCAGCCTGGAGGAGGGGTTGCGGTGGGGAGGGGGGCCTTTGCCACACAGTCACTTCATCTTTTGAGGGCTTCCCCCATACAGCCAAGCC